GATGTACAAAGTATGAACAACAATCTATTATATGACATATAAACTTTGGTAACATCTAAAGTCTTCAGTTAAAAAAAGAAAGAAAACAATCACAAGAAAGGAACCCGAAAGTTGACTCAATTCATTCTAGTATTGATATGACAAGAGCTTCAAGACAAGGTCCACGTCATCTAAACTCACATCTTGTCCCTCCCTCAAGTCGGAAGAGATCTCCTTTTATGCATATAATAATTAAGCTTCAATTCAACCAAAAGAGAAAGAAATGACCTTAGTGAAGCACAAACACAGGAATGCTTAATGTCGACTTTTCAAACATAGAACCTATTAGCTTGACCACAGACTGAATAAATTTAGCATCCTCTATTTAGGTACCTAGTCCTTGCAAGAACTACATTCAGTCTGTAGTATTCACCGGTTTTCTATTGGAGAAAAGAAATCTCCCCCAACTGAATGCAAACTACTATCAGGGAACAGCTGCAATGAAAGGTGAATTACCCAATGGTCTGTAAGGATGAAACAGACATTTAAATATTCCATGTGCAGCCGACAAGTCTTCTCTTCGTAATACATATTCAAATACATGTACTCCACTCAAATGTCCCAAACACAATTTTATTTTACCAGTTTACTGAAAAAAATATCATACAAAAAGACTCAGGAAGTAATAGAGCTGAAGAGACAAAAATATGCTGTCATTTGTGCAAAATTCACCTTCACAACCACAACAAAGGTGCATCCTCTACAATAAAAACCACATGTCTTCCAAACTTACTGAAAACGAAAAAGGAGAAACCATCAACAGAATAAAACCCCAAATATACAAAGGACTAAAATACTGCTTATAATTTTACTGTTATTGTTACTTCAATAATTCTTTCTGTACAATTTTGTGGGGGTTCTTCTATTAATCCAGCTGAGGGGCACATAGATGCATCCATAATTTCTTGGAAAATTATTTTTCAAATGGAATATAAACTGTCTTCCAATGTTTATGATCTGGATGACCATTTCCATCTTCTGGAAATTAAGTATTTATATCAAAAGACAGAACACACTGAAACAGAAACAATCCCAGAGTTCAAATGTCAAAAGACAGGTTTTCAAAGCTAAGATTGACATAGTAGTTCACAAAATTCACACAAAGTAAGTCTGCTGAGGCCTTTACACAGCTTGGAACAATGTTATCTAAGGAGTAACCTCGTGACATTGTGAAAATGAAGTCGCTTATCAGTTTCCGATCTGCATCAAGAGTAATGAGCGACATTGTGTTCAGGCTATTTGATCTGGAATCTTTTGAATGATATATGTAACAATGACATCATGATATATGAAAACTTTAACTTATTTGATAAACTTACGGGCCAGAGAGTGTTGAGAATTATGTATCAACTCTTTGTACAAATGGCACATTTACATAAGTTCCAAAATCTTTTTTTTAACAAATAACCACCTTAGCAATACTCAGGAAGGTTGGAGAACATTAGTCTCATTGAAGACCATTACCAAAACACATCCTTAAACAGGCAACATAAAGTGAAAAAACAAAACAGAAAACATTCCAACCAACAGTAAACAATTGTGCATTGACTGAAAGTTTGAATACTTGGGGGTGGGGGTTGCAAAGTTTATACTGGTGAATTTTTTCTCACTTTTCGCAAAAATGTTGGCATGTTCACATTGCGTGATCACCATGTATTCTAAATATTTCACTACAACAGGTTCGGTTAACTTTCAAATTGGATGACCATTTTCAAATTATGGGGCACACACTTTACTAAATCTGTGCCCCTGAAATTCACACCAAAAAATCAGCATTCATAATTTTAAAAATAGCGTTCTATTTCTTCTTATTGACTTACCGACATAAAATGTAGCCTACTGTAATATGATATTAACTGACAGAAACAAGTTACATCAAACACAGGTTTTCAGTCAATAATTAATAGTCAGAAATAGTCATTTCTGAAATAGTGAAGATAACTTTAGTTTCTTGTCTGACGATATCTTTGTAAAGCATTTCACTGTTCCATTTATCAATATCATGAAAAAAAATTATAACACATTACAGGCTTTAATTCTCAAAAATTTAGTCACTTCACAGTTCTTAAACACTGATTACATACACTTTTGTCTGTGCACTAACATTATGAAAGCAACTGACAGTAGTGACAGTCCCACATGGTTGCAAATCCGGAACAGGGAATAAGTTAATATTGAAGTGAATAAAATAATTTATATTTAGATATGCACCAGCATCTTATGATTCATCACTGTAGATACGCTGTTTTATGGTATTAAAAACTAAATCTTTCTAAATTAGGGGGAACACTTTATAGCTTACTCAAAATAACAACATTTGACTGCGTACTTAATGCTGTATTATGGGGAGCTCTTTATAGCTTACTTTTATTAATATTACAACAGTTGGCTGTGTACTTAATGCTCATATCTTAACATACTCCAAGCTTCAACCATTAAAATGGACTATCAACATGTTGGAATACTAGTAGATATAATTTGTCTTTTGCTACATTTCCTCTTTCCTAATTTGAGGGCGACATCCCACACAAACTCAGAAAATGTAATAAATATTTTTGGGAAAATGGAATAAAATCTCCGACCTCTGCACTAATTGTAATTAAACTTAATAGTTGACTATAGCAGTACAGCAGGAAAAAATGTCAGTAATTCTTAACCTTAATTGTTTTTTAATTATTAATACATTGAAGGAAACTTTTCAAATGCAGAAACTACAGCTGGAAAAAATGTCAGTAACTCTTAACCTTAATTGTTTTTTAATTCAAATATTTAAGAAAACTTTTCAATTGCAGAAACTAAAATTTCTTTTTAACTGTAAAAAAATTGTTCATCTTGCTTGACACAGATCACAATGTCACAAAGAGGGCAGATCAAATGGTCCTCACACTTTAAAAAAAAAAAAAGGACCGCTGGACACTTCTAAAACTGAAAGATCTCAACACTGCTATTTCAAGATCTGTACCAGTATATTCTCTCCTGGAATAAACATGAAAATAATATATTAGTCTATTGACTTAGATGCAAAGACCATCAATTCACTTTTCGATCGAAAAAAAAATTATACATGAAAACCAATAATGAAGTTCACTGGAACAACCAGATGTCCAAGACACGCGAAAAGGAGTTCAAGGACACAAAAGTTTCTGTTGTCATGTTTTGTCTAAACTGTGCAGTCCACAGAAATTATCTGAATACCGGGTCTTTGAACTAAAAACAATGCATAATTCAATACAAAACCCATTCAACTGAATGTGTGATCCAAAAATAATTAACATGTCATGTGGAAACTGAATGAGAGTAACTGACATGAAAGCACAGAGAGCACATCCACAAACCCTACTGGCAAATTTCACTTAGAATTTGATTGCCAAACATAGACCAAATGGTGGCTGGCTTGGAAAAGAGAGGGAAGAAATTGATGAAAAAATCCACTACAATCCACCAAGCTGGCTGCAAGACACACCAGAAATGCTGCCAACCTAGTAACATAACAAAACTGCTTCTATCTGAAAACCTAATGATGTAAGTCAACAAACAAATGAAAATTTAGAAACAAAGATATTTTTGACTGACAAACAACATGACCTGAAATAAACATCAAACTCAGAAAAACATAGCAAGCATTTACATTGTGCTGTTGGCTTCAGTTGCTTCTTTTTTAGGAGGGCAGGCCACGCAGTCCAGAGCCGTGTCGTGTCTAACAGTTATTCCTGTAGTCTGTACATTTCCATATGATCATATTTCACTTCACCGAAAAAAATAAAAAGCAAACCAAACCAAAAAAACACCCCAAAACAAAAGCCTCATTAATTCGGCCGACTTGAAAGGTACTCACACTTACCGTACACAAACATACACAGTTTTTGCAAAAACATGTCGATTTCAAAATCCATAAGTGGAGGAGAACATTGGTATCACATTTAGGACCACAACAAGTACTTTGCCTGTATTGCAAAAAGTGATTTAACAGAGGGAGAACAGAGGCTTGATGACAATGTGTGTGTCCAAAGTAATATATGTACAGTATCACAAAGGTACAGTCAGGCTGCCTGTGTGGTTTGTCATCCGTTCATGCACAGAGTGTTCTTCCTGATGACACCAGGCCATCTTTCAACAGGCGCATACACTTCAAGAAACAAGATTCATTCAAAAAAATTCTTTGCATTATACTCTCACTCAGATACATTCAATTTAATTTACACTGAAAGCACAGAGCCTGTTTGGGAATAAGGTGTAAGGTCGTGTGAGCTCAGCCTGATGACACAGCAATGAGGGGTGGGGGGGAAGGTCACAGAGCTCAGCACACTGAAAAGTCATATTTGCTCAGTCCTCGTACATGAAAAACTTCAGGGGTGGATCGGCGACTTTTCTTCGCTAAAACCAGCCCTTTTTCTCTTTAACCTAGATTTTCCAAGATTTTGACAGCTGTTTCATAGAAGTATTCCAAGTTCAACACATAGCAGCTCAAAGAAAACGGTCGAATCATCAACTTCTTGAGCAAAAATTGGAGAACAAAACTATGGACTCAGTAACACTCCATTGTTTTTCTTCATGGCACTATTTTTTTTTAACATTTAAGTTTACATTCATCAATCTGATAACTTATATTTCTATTAATGGTAGGCAGAAACAGCCGACACTAATTAAGCCTAGCAAAACAACAGGTTGAATATGTAGTACTAGGCCTTTTTCAATGATTTCTGTAGTAGTGCTGGGCGGCTAGGTTCCCGATTATTGAAAGCTAGGAATCGTACGAATCGACTCCGAACCCAATTACTTACTTTCTAATGGTGTGATTTCTTCCTGTGGTTACCTGGTTGGCTCCCAACATCTTCAGGGTTTGGGGAAACCTTGATTTCGGAACACTACGAAGCATCAACTTTTATTTTCAAAAAATTAATTCTTTTTAAAAAAAGATTTTAATGATTAAAGTAACTGGTAACCCGTTGGTTTACGTAAAAAGGAGTCGGAACTTTTCCTTGGTAGCATTAATCGTGGGAACCGGTTCTGGTATCGATTCTTCGCCCAGCTCTATTCTGTAGTCACTGCAAGGAGCTACAGTGGGAATCCTGTATTCATCTTTTATTTTGCTACAGCTCCGAAGAGCTGAATCTTGACCCATGACAGTGCCTTTTCTTCTTTGCCTGTGACAGAGCTCACTTTGGCTAAGCTTCAACAATCACATGACCTTTGCCTAGCCTGGGTCATTCAGAGTCTGATTTCGGCTTGAAGTTGAGGCGATACGTCTCTGAAAAAAACAAACCAAAATAAGATAAATGAATTTACAGACCAAAAGATTGTGAACCTACCTTTTAAATAAATTCTTAGCAAACCTGGCTCCCTTTTATATATTTTGATAGAATAGCACAAGTGTCTAGATTTAATTTTAGACTAAAATACTGTAGGTAGCTCTAAATCAATTATTATTACACGGATCTGGATTCCATTTTCTCCGTCAACATAAATCAAGTAAACTTACACTGAACAACTTTTGAACTTAATTTTCTAAGACTAGATTATGATTACAAATAAGTAAATTCACTAGAAATACCCTTTAGAATCAAAGTGCAAGAACAAAATATAGTACCTCACATCCAAAGTGACCCTTTAAAAAACTAAATATTAAATTAAGTTTTGACCTAAACATAATCCAAACATATAGCAAAGAAAACAAATAGGTTAACCTTTTGGACATTATTGGACTAAAAAGTAAAGTCAAACACTATCGGCTTTCAAAAATGAGGCAAAAATGCCTGGTCTCTGAGGGTGCATTTCTAGAAATAAGTTCGTCTGGAATGAGTTACTGATTTACATTTTCTTTAAACTTTTTTTAGTAGGCTGTGGCATTTTTTTTTAATGGAAAAAAAAAGATGAGCTGCAGCAGTAGCAGTAATTGCACTAGTTTAAAACAGCTCTGATCTTTCTTTCTGCCGAAAACCAGGAGAGTTGAAAGGCACACCTTCAGAACATATATTTTTCGTAATAAAGTGTGTTTGTTATGTTATTGCACACCAGTTGAGCTCTTCTACTATTTTTCCCACCCATTTTCCTATTACTTTAAAAATCCCTCCCCTCTCTTTAACTGGTATTCCTTCTACCTATAAACCCAAGGAAAAAAAACGCATCTTGTTTAACAAATCAAAGCAACAGATGGCATAGAAATAAATGGTCCCTTACTTGACATATTCTCCATTGTGCTTTCCTTGCACTCTGCTACCTTGTGTCCTGTATTACCACAGTTGTAGCAGGCAATCTTGTTTGTAGCTCCATTGTTAGGGGGGCCATGTCCTAAGCTTGCATTGACTGGAGGAGGCGCATTAGTCTGCAGATTGCTCTGAGGCATGACCTGATTGTGAGTAGGGTAGCTGTTACCATACAGGAAGGGTGGCAGCTGGCCCTGAGCCAGCTGAGCTGGGAAACGTGCTGCTGCAGCCATGTACAGTTCCGGATTCATACCATTGGGGAAAGGCTGTGACGCCTGGGGTTGAGGGAAGAAAGGTGGCATTGCAGTGACCAGGCCGTTGCTAGGATGGTTGTGTGCCGGCATAACGCCATGATACCAGTAATGTCCGAGTTGGTGGTGGAAGTACACAGGGTGGCCTCCTGACCCCGATGAGACTGCTGGGTCACAGTTGAGGCAGTTAGCTGAGTGCTGCTTTTGTGGGGGAACTACAGCCCCCAGAGGCTGGTTGAGAGGGGGACTAGGCGTGTTGGTGCCACTGGTACTTGCTGTCACTGTGGGCTTGCTCACTAGGTGGGGAGGAGTCTGGCTTGGAGGTGTCCCTGTACTGGCTCTGTCCATGCAGCGCGGGTCCGACATATCAGAGCCTTGGAGGTAAGTGGGCACCTGGTCATTGGAGGTGGTTGCTGCTACAGGTGAGGGGGAATGACTTAAAGGCGGGCCAGCCGAGTGACACTGTGAGGAAGTCATGGCTGAGGAGGAACTGGCTACTGAGGTGAGGATGCTTCTTTGCGGTGGCAGAGAGCCAGGTAAGTTTGGAGGTCGCATAATCAACGGGTAGCTGTGGAAGCTGCTGGCAGGAGCACATTCAGAGGCCAGTCCTGACATGTGAGGAGGATGTTGGGGAGGTGGTTGTGGCAACACATTATTGTTGTTGGACTGGTGACTCCCTGGGCCCAGAACAAGGCCCTGGTTTGATGTTGCTGTGGAGACCACAGGTGGAGCCATGAAGGAATGGTGCGGGATAGAGTGCATGCCAGAGGGCAATACTCCTGGCCCTTTTCCCACAGCCTGGGGTAAGTGACCCATGTGATCAAAGTTAGGCATATTGACCACATTCTTGTGCATTCCAGGCGCAGTATGGGTAGGCTGAGCACTCTTAAAAGGACGTGCATTGAGAATGGACCTGGGCATGACGGGGCCCTGTGGTATAAGTGGCGGTGGGGGGTCCGACATGTATCCGTTTACTAGGGCCGCAGCAGCTGCAGCAGATGTGGAGATCTGGGAAGAAGCACATACCACAGGGATTGCTACATTGGGTGGCGGAGTATGTTCGTTGCTGGCTTCCACACTTACAAGAGCAGAGTGAATGTGAGAGGAGGGTCCAGACATGGAGATAGGCAAAACTACCACTTTGCCTTCATCCACCACTAGTGAAGGATTGCCAGTTCCACTCATTCCTGTTTGGGAAAAGGACTGCTGTGGTCTTCCCAGCCCACGACTCCTACCCACTGAAGAGTCACTCTGATCATAGCCTAAGAAAAAAAGTAACAAATCTTAGCAGGTGAAAACAATAAACAAGCATATCATTATAATGAGACAAGAAAGAAACAACCCAAGATAGATAACATGAATTAGAGAAATAAAAATCAACAAGACAGAAGCAAACTATCAAAACAAGACATAAAACTAAAAATGTTTCTAGAGTAGTAATGTGGAACAAAAAACAAAAAAATAAACTTAGTTCCTAACATTTGTTCGAAATATAAGTTATAATATAAATACTGTAAAAAGATGTCATTATTTCACACACTGCCACAACCTTTTAGTTTCATGTTGAACAAATTGATATCATTATCAGCAAAAAGAGTATCAAACAAGGCACCATAATAAATCCAATAGACCTGCATGTGAGCCTCAACCAGATTGTCTGAAAATTTTGCGCACCCCCCCCCCAAAAAAAAACCCTTTGTGGGTGTCATAAGGAAGGACATCCGAGTAACGAGCGACCACCCCAACAAACACTTGATAAAGAAGAGACAACCCTAACCCTACCCCCAAAAAGAACCTGCAACGGGCCTCATGTAAAAAGGCCAAAACAAGTCCTAAATGAAAAAAAAAATTAAAATTAAAAAACCACACTCCAAAACAAACAAGGAGCATATAGATCTAGATTCTCGATCTATATGGCTTACATCTACATTGCTATAATAGGGTTTGATACAATAACACAATAGAATTGGAATATCATATATGAATACTCCATATAGATCTAGATCTAGCAATCTAAATAAATCTAAATCTAGATCTTGTAGAACAAGTGAATAGGAATAGGCCTTGAACTAGAAATCCGCATCCGATTCCAAACAGAGGGACTCAGCTGAGTCTAGATTCTAGATCTAGATCTAGATCTAAATAAATAAATAATTCACGCACCTGATGAAATGCTTATTTTTACCAATATTAATATTACAGCACAACCTATGATAGGGTTTGACACAATAGAATTGGAATATGAATCCTTCATTGAGGTCTATAATGATCTATATAAATCTAGATCTAGATTAGAACAAGAGAGTCGGACTTGAATGAATCCACACGATCTGAACAATTGAATTAGTCAACAAACGAAATTCAAAATGGCCGCTCGAGCACGAAACTGAAAGTACAGTAGGCCTAGATAATTTAAGTTGTCGTCCTTTTTCGTATTCGCATTTCTACTTAGGTTCCGACAATTATGTCGGAAACGCCGACGTCGGCAGTGCGCGCGTCGGCGGTCGGCACGAAAACGAAAGTGCCGACGAGTCGCTGGCAGTCAGCCAGGCCTCACACTATGCACATTGACTGATACAGGCGGGTCTAGCGATAGCATCGGCCGGTTCGCGGGTCGGGTCGCGATTGTCGGATTTCAGACGATTGTCGGCAAACATGCAGGTCTAATCCAAATTAACTACGGCAAAGAAACAGAGAGACCAACCACACTACCTTTCTTTTACACATAAAGACCGATACAACACTGAAGAAAAATTTTTTTCACCTAACACCACTGACAAAAAACAATACCCAAAGAAACAAAATGAGACAAATGCTAACCTGACACCATGTCCTCTTCTGAACCAGAACTGTCCGGAGGATTGCTGTTCTTGCTCCTCAGCAATTTCACATCTGACGGAGAAATGGACGATGCTGCTACAGCTGCTGGGGGAGCCATCATGGCCAGGGGAGCACCATCACTTCCAGGGGACACCTGAGCAGCCGCCAGAGTCATGATGGGTGGAACCTGTGGCAAGTCCACTGACTGGGCTGCTAAATTAATCTGGGAGGGACTAGCAGGTGGACTGGACACCTCAGAGTTGGCAGAAGAGCTTTCTTCACCAGTTGTATGGGAGTTAGGTGATGCTAACAAGCTGGCTTGACTGGGCTGTTGACTATGGGCGAACTGGACATAAGTGTGGCCATACTGAGGGCTGGCTATGAATGGCATACGATGTATCGGCACGACAGAATATGGAAAGGAAGGGGAAATCTCGGCTGATGACGAACCACTTGTTGTATCAATGTGCCCATTATCGAGTTGACTTTGACTGCAAAGGGAGAAAAAAAAAAGGATTAGCATCATCATTTCCTCTCACACTGATTCTGAAATTTTAAAAAAAAAAAAAAACAAGGTACCCAACATTCTATTTCACTTGTCTAAACTTGACAAGTTATAAAGCCAGGATCCTTTGGTACCGGTCTATATGTGCAGAGCAATATCTCTTTTGTAGTACGAGATAACGACGACCAAGAATTTAGTATCATTACATTTTAGAGTTTATGCTTTAACAGGTAAGAGTAAAAACACAAACAAAAGGCAAATATTACCTGACGTTAATTGTAAAAATAAGAGCAACAAACACTGCAAAAATTCCATTAAGTTCACTTTCCATTTAAATCATCTGTTGAGTACTACTGAGACAGAAGCATCTATTGGAAACATATTAGCAGCACACACATCAAAATCCTGGAAAAGTATGCCATATAGATACATTAACTCCCTTCAGACGGTTCATGCAACAGTTGCGTGACCCCTGTCGCGACGCTCGCGACGGTTCTCGCAAGTCCTGCGTGATCAACTTTGGAATTTTTTATTCGCTATACAAATCGCACATGCATCGCGTAACCCGTCTTGTGCCAGTCCTGAGCTAATTAGACTTAGTTTTGTATCTCTAGGGCCGATAGTTTTCAAGCTATTGAAGGTGAAGGACAATCACCTCAACTGGGGTTGAACTGACCGGAACTCGTGCTCTGTTTTTTCTATACAGCCGATAGTAATTTGACAGTCGCGTTGTAGTAACAGTCAAAGAAGTCGCATGAACAAGAATAAAATAATTTAGCTGTTTTAGACACTTTTGTTCGATTTACTGGTTCTTGTGTCTCAGAATATGACGTGTCTGATAGTTAGGATCCTGGGTATGTACCCGAACACGGCCCAAGTCGTAGTTTCAGGGCTAGACTTAGCACTAGTACTGGTGCTGTTGTTCGCACAACGAAATCACAACTTCATGCCCTACATCTGTCTCACGTAATTCAGTGTATGGGTCTGAATCAACGCACAGTCCAGCTTTTCTATTTTCACCAAACACACACACATGCATACAAATCAAAACAGAACACTTGGAACTTTTATTTTTTTTGTTGTTGTGAATTTCATTCTATCTGTCACGTCTCTAGAAATTTTTCAGAAAATCAAATTCAGGCCAACTTCTTTAAAATCATACATATTAAAGTATTAGACTTTGAAAACTTTAGTTTTTTGTATTATTTTATATTAGATTAAGCTTGAATGTAACTTTACTGTGTCAAAAATTAATAAAAATAGGGCAATTCTGAGAGCTGTGGTGGTTTCATGAAATACTTCCAAAAACGCCAGAGCTTGTGACTGGTGAACGGCCCCAGTAGTCAGTGATTAAACCATTATGTCCACATGCTAAAAAAAATTATAAAGCCACTGGCTGCGGCACATTGTGATAATATCTTGACCAACATGTAGAAAGCTTGCAAGGATTTCATTTGTAACTTTTTTTTTTACTTCACACTTTCTCAATTATTTTTTCCAGAGTGAAAAATCCCATAGAAGTAGGGGTACACCAAGCTTGACATATAAAAATGCTATATTTTCTCTTACTCTATAAGGTATCGAATAAGCCCCCCCCCCACCCCCCATTAACTTTCAGGGTTTTTTGGCACCCCCAGCCATCCACCCTTTATTCCACACCCCCATTTATTATCTTCCAGCTTGCCACGACCGACTATCATGTGAAACATCATATCTAGAATCAGGATATCTGAATGAAATTTCTTCTTTTTTTTTTTTTGGCTACCTCAATTTTCTATGCATTTAAAAAACTTTTGTACATTTGCTTATATTTTTTAATGGAACTGGTTTGTTCCTAAATGGGAAAAGTTGTCACAGTAACTTACAAAAATCACTAAAATTTCATCTCTTGTTCTTTTATTCACTGAAGGAGAAATTAAACATTTGTTTCTACTAGTAGAGGGGTATGAGGTTGAATGTGCCCTGATAAATTTTGGACCACTTGTCCACCCACCCTTCCCCCCCCCTTTTTTATTCTATACCTTAGAGTATATACTACAACACACTATTAAAAAAAAACCCAAACAACTTACTTATACTGATCCAACTTAGAGCGAAGTTTGTCTTGGGCATCAGCTGGGAGACCTGCTGCAGCAAAATCATCTTTACTCATGGATAGGATCTGGAGAAAAAAAAAATTCAACATTTAAAAACTCAGGCTTGACAAACAAATCAAAATCAAAAGCAGCTCTACCTTCATTAACTTTTTACAGCAAAAAAAATAACTAGAACCAATCTTTGGAAGGAGCATGCGTTACAACCATACATAGCAGTGCCAAAAGAGCACAAGATGCACTTGGTGTGGAAACAACATCTTATGAACAAAAAAACAAAACAAAATAGTCGAACCAGCCTTAACGGAAACCTGTGTAAAACAGAAACCGGTCTTAACGAAATCACTCCACTCCTCCCTTGATATATTCCTCTATAAAGACCTGTGTAGAACAGAAACCTGTCCAACGAGGAAACAGATATAAAAATCCGCTCCCTTCCGAGGGTATTACCTGTGTCTTAGAAAATGCTTTGCCCTTTCAGTCCTGATTTGAAACAAAACTCGGAAGTTTGGTTCCGCCTGCCGGCTCTAAATTTAACGCCATGCTGTCGGGAGAGGAAGGGGAGTAGGGATGCAATTTGAGGGTAGATCTATGCTACCCCATCTATGCGAGCCCTGAGCGATGAAGATAGTCAGGGTAGAGTGGGTGTGACATCTCACGAGTGCCAGTGAAAGTGCTCGAGTGGCACTCCAGCACATAAACTTTCATAGGTAGCCAGAGGCCAGAGGTGTGAAATTAGTTTGACCAATGCCTGCAGCCCTGATCATACAGCCAGCCGAGGAGTTCCTAGAATCCTTGCTCCATGGCAATGAAGGGTGGCATGAGTTGACTGCGCTTATTACACTGATGGGTGGGGCTAAGGGTGGAAGCAAAGGAGATGTTCAAACGTTTCTGTTTTAAATAGGTAAAACAGTGGTCCTATGAAATGCAAGCACTGGTGGTAATTGGTAGGCCAGGGCAAGATCGACTCTGGGATCGATTCTTTCGAGTCCAAATGAGGACTCAAAGAATCAATCTTGTTCAGACTCTAAGCTTCTAGTCCGCCCAGGGTCGATGCCTCCCGTCTCCTTTTTTTCAGCCTAGTTCCTAGTCTAGACTCCGAGAATCGAGGCAAGAATCTAAATCTCTACCGCACTAGTAAAGTCCTGTCGTGGGATAGGCCTAGGGCTGTCCCACCCCACAGTCGAGTTTTTCGCTTCAAAACAGACACCGCACCAGGACAGGACTGACTGATCCGGCGCATAATGTTCTTTGATGTTGGCCAAGGCGGAGTTAAAAATGCATTCCAAAAATAAAATCTTAAATATTGGCCAAATTTAAGAAATAATAAAATTTTCGTGATCAGCAACCCAAAATTAGCAAAAATTACGGCGGGAACCCAATTTAATGCCCGATTACCAAGTTCAATTAATTTTTGTGAGTTTTGTTTACTTATTTTTTTCACTATTTGAATTTGGCGTGCACTAGGCCTTGATACATGTAGATTCAAGACTGTGTCTTCAAGGTGTATGAATCGAGGTTGCATGTGCCTGTGCTCTGTTTCTTCGTATTAGAAAAAAGAAAGAGAAAACAGTATTCGGTCATACTGTCCCACCGATGCTGTAGCAATTCACAACTGCTCTGGACTCAATGCAACAAAAATGTCACGTCCCAATAATAGGTGCGGTACAATACACTCAAGTTCAAAGGTTTCAAACGTCAGACGGGTCTGTTCCTGGACGAACTTTCGTAGGCCTGGTGAGGTAGGGGCAAGAAACTGCCAGTCAGTCACTATCAATTGTCTCACACAACCCCCCACGCCACCTTCCTCTTCCCCGCTATGAGTGAATGCTAAACTAGGCCTAGGCCTACTTGTCGTGTCTACTGTGTAGCCCAGTACGAAACCACGCTGCACATAGGCCACTGCTACTTTGAATGTTGTTACCCCACCCCTGCCCATCCCAAATTAAATCATTCACTTCCCTTTTCTCTTTCTTTTGTCTTGAACATTGAACGCTTGCTTTTGAATTTCACTGCACTTTCATCTTCACTGTACGTGTATTCTTTTGTAAATCATATTGTGTGTTTTGAGTTGACATCAATGAGTCATCATGTCTGGACGTCAATCTTTAGCTTCAGACTTTTTTTTATAAGCAGGAAAACACAGTACTGTTGTTTGTATGATTTGTAATAATGTTTAGGCATACAATAACACAACGTCGACAATAACAAAACATTTGTCATCAAAGCATGCTTTGACATATCAGGAAGCAAAGGGTGCAAGAGAGAAGGAACCTGTGCCCCACGCATTGGCAAGAGTGATAGAAGGGAGGCAACACACACACACACACACACACACACACACACACACACACACACACACCCACACCCAAACACACACACACACGCAAACACACACACAAACGCGTGAAAGCCAACTTGTCTTGGCACGCGCACAGGCTTAGCCAGCCATGTCTGTCAAACTCGAGACTCGAAGCAACCCTTGATCCCACCGGATGGCCTTTAAACCCCACTCCATCTCCCGACTAAATTCCCGTGTCTAAGATGGAAAATGTCTAAGACGGAATTTTTTTCTGGCTCCCTTGGGATTCCATCTTACACAGGTTTGACAGTATTTATTTTATTTTGATAAATAAATGAACCACTTTGGTGTCATAATTATTTTAAATTATCACCCATTCGTACTTATAGATAACAAGCTCCAATGTAAAAAAGCCACCCAAAAAAAAACCTGCTTTCAAATCCCCCCAAAAGTGAGTTCCATTTCTCAACAGCACTAGTACTCACTTTCAGTTTGGTACACATCTAAGCCTCACTGGAGAACAACCATTCCCAAAAGGATGGCTAAAATTTCACAAATTATGATGTAAACAAAATGTGAGCCAAAGGACCCTTTACCAATACAATATAAAAAGTTTCTTGAATACAAATGGATATTGAATCATACAACACAACTTCAGAAAAACAGAATACTGTAATATACCTGCTTGAAAGAATAGCTTCTCAGACAGTCAAAGTACTTTTCCAAACCGAGCAGCCGTAACAACTGTGACAGAGACAATTCTACATTTGATCCAAGCTCAGAATCTGCAACATTTGGGGAGCCACCAGCCAGGGGGATGTGGGGACCCTTTGCACGAGCCCCTGGACTTGTCAGATTGGTGCGACAAACTCCACTAGCATGGTGGGGAGCAAGCGCCGGGGAAGATGTTCGAGAGTTGGCTGGGGACTCAGCACAAGATGACACCTGGGAGGGGCTGGTAAGTTGACCAGGGGAGGAGGGGTTGGAACACAAAGGTAATCTGGGGATAATGAAGAAAAAAAGCAAATAAAAGTCATATGCAAAACATTACGAATTTCAGGAATATATGAGTTTCATTATTCACTGAAAAGGCAAAAGGGAAACAATACAATGTACATAAAACTATGTGATGTTTTACAATTACACAAAATACTTACACAAGTGCCAACTTCCTTTGAACAAAAATTGAGGGAAATACACATAATAACTTAAAGCTGTCCAACCACCTGCTCATAAGGTCACAGCTGGGTCAAATAAATACAAATTTTAGAACAAATATGTTCAAACAAAGGAACAAAACTGACTGGTATTTCCTACACTAAAAGCAAGACTAAATTTCGTAAAAACATTAAATCTTTTTCCAACACCCTGAATGTCAGCATGCCATTGTTGCCTCTTAACACACTAAAATCACTACTGCCTATATGACATTCCCTTCAACTTCAATAGATTTCAAATATAGTCCAACCTGCTAAAACCGCCTGTCCAAGACAATCACCTGTTCAAATGACCACTTCCCGCCTCTATCCTTGCTTTTTCTTCTTTTTCATATCACAACAATGTACATATAATAGTGACACTGTCCAAGAGGATCACCTGTCTAAGTTGACTGCTTTTCTCAAAAGTATGTGCTCGTCTTGGACAAGTTCGACTGTACTTAACACACATAAAAAAACAACCTTTTTAGCATTGGGGGTTTTGAGAATAGGAAATGTAAAAATAAAATTTACGCATTCAGCATTAAAATCAAAGATACAAAGCCGAAACATACCTGGCATACGGTGGCACAGTGTACTGGGGTATCCATCCATTCTCTGGGAAAAAAATTGCAATAATTATCAGACAATACAACTAGACACAGTACATTCACCATTGCACAAAAAACACTTAACTACAAAAAGGCATGGCAAAACTGCACAGTATGACCAAACCCTGACTCATTTCTCAGATGTGGATTAATGCTCTAGAGTTCACTGCCCTTGATACGGTCGAAGGGAGGGGGCTCTTATGAGATCTAACTTGAATCGCATGTTCTTTTACAATTTTTTTCGCAAATTTTACAAAATTAACAGATAATAAGTAGATATTTAATTATATCCAAGGAAACAACCATTTTTGTTTAAAAAAATTATTATTTCTGAGATGAAAAATGGACCGCACATAATTTCCGCATCACTTAGTTCCTCTTCCGCCATTTTGTGTTTGTGATAACCGCCCTTCTCCACTAGCTCTCAACTTTTCGCTCATAAAAGCGAAGCACCACGTCTGACAACGAAGATTTTGTTATGGATGACTCTCTTAGAGAGTCTTGTGAGGAGGAAAGCGATGATTGCCCCTCAAATGATGCCCCTTCTTAGTGACTTTCGCTTTTTTGTCGTCTTTTACTATTTTACTTTACGGCGAAAGTGAGCCATCAATTGTATCACATGACCTTTATGTTGAAACTAACTGTAGCACTGTCTTCTACATTCAAAGACAAAAAGATCCACATACGACTTGTCATATTTCGGCTCAAAATATAACCAAAACAGGCAAATATTGTTTTGTAACCCACCAGGTTTAGGAACGAGCCCAAAAAACAGAGAACCCGAAAGAGTTAAGAACAGTAAGAGTTTTATATACTTTAAAATATGCAAGAAGACAATGTATAAGTAAGTGTATAAATTTCATGCTCCTATCAACACTGTTGGGTTATTTAAGAGGTGGGACCTCTCCTCTCCAGTTGGACCAAGCCAAATGGGGGTTGAGAGCCTTGAAAAAAACAAGAACATCCAGTCTGGCATTCAAACCGGGGCCATCTGCTCCGTAGCCCAGCACTATACCAACAAAGCTAACAGAGCATCCCCAGAAGACAAGAGATATTCAGAATTAACACAGTGAAAGAAATACATACCTTCATAGAAAGACCTAGGCATAATAATACATGACTGTGGGGGGTTTGAAGTTGGCTGGACCAGACTGCCCCGCCTCAGAGGTTCAAGCAAGACATCACAGTTCAAGATATGACTTGGAGCTTTCACCAACTCTCTGAAAATGGTATGGTTTCAATCAAAATTTTAGTTGTATAACAAAACGTATCATCTTCCAATAATAAGCCAGCCGACTACATTAACACAAGTCAATAGATTCAGTCTCACTATCAGATGAATTCCCATTCTAAAATCACACAATTCTAAGGTACCTTCATTAAAAACATGGTATTAACCCTATCCGTACATCATGTTTTACTATCATATCCATATCATGTGGGGAACTCTGTGCCACCACTTTCAAAGAGGAAATTTACTAGTTAATCTGATCCGCACAGATTGCACAACTGTCTGTCAAAATTATTTTTTGAGAAATATTGAAAGTTTCAAAGAGATCTTCACACTAGAAGGATTCTAAAATGTGAAGAAAACAACCCTGGGGATACAATATCACCTCTGGGGCGTACGGATAGGGTAAACCATACTTGACAAGCTGTCAATAATATATTCACGTACATCAATTATTTCAAGAAACAAAAAAAGAGCCTGTTGCACCAATATGTCCTCAGGTTAATTCACGCAGTTCTTCACACATCACCCAAATAAACACAGGAGTCAGCAAATGTCTCAATGTAACATGTAATTTTTCATGAGGACAAGGTTAGTCAATTTTAGTAGAGGTTTTATGGCACTCGCAACTGCATAAGGTTATATGAGCGCCGGAAGATTAGAAGTGCCACAAGAGAGTAATAAACATAAAAAGAAGAAGGGGAGATAAGGACAATAGATGTTTGATAGGAAAGAAGGAGCAAACCACACCAGAGCACCCACCAACCACCCACGGACAAGGTTAAAGCCCAAATTGAAAAAGTGAACTCAAATAATACATCTGAAAACATGCATTGAACCAATGTGTTATTAATCGATCACAATTGTGGTCAAATTCTTCATCAGCACTCCTAAGTTTAAATGAAACATCTTAATTTGGTTTTAGTAGAGTTTTTATGGCGCTCACAACTGCATAAGGTCATTTGAGCGCAAAGGGGTGGAAGTCAACAGAGAAGTCCTTACAGGAAATCAGGCTTACTCTGTTCACCTCTCTAGCTTCAACAGCACACCAAAGTCTGCTTGGACTATCAAGGCACCTCGGAAGTAGCGAGTCACAAGAAAATGACAAACATACAAAAGAAGTAAAGTAGGAAAAATGACGATAGTAAGGATTAGGAGAGAGAAAGCAGCAGTTCCCCGCATGCAGTTCAGGAACAGTTATGAGCATGACATTGATGACGTAAGAACATATTAATGTCCCCCCTTTGGGAATGGCCTAAAGACACTTCAGTCAGTAGCACCGCCCCAGGGGGTAAAACATCTTAATATTATATTTGCAAAGTTTACCATTACAACAATTAAATCTTTTACTAGGAGTACGTGTTTCACGTACGTTTTGCAACACTTCGAATATCAATCGTTATGCACCATCCGTAAATAAAAAAATAGATGTTTGAATAATTGATTTGCCAATACCGACTCACCTAAAGTAAGAGTTGAGGGAGTTGATCTTTTCTTTATCTGCCTCATTGCGAAACGACTGTTTCCCTGGTAAGATTAAAAAGAACATTTCTTTGACACACATTTCTTTGACATATAGACCTGCATGTAAGCCTCAACCAGACTGTCAGAAAATTTTGTCCACCCCCATTATAAGAGCTTTTGTGGGTGTCATAAAAGGAAGGACTTCCGCGTAACAAGCGACCACCCCAACAAATATAATAAAGAAGAAACCTAACCCTACCCATAGGCCTTCCCTAAAAAAAAAACTGCAACGGCCCTCATGTAAAAAGGCCAGCACAAGTCAAGTCCAAAAAAATGAAAAAAAAAACCCACACTCCAAAACAAACAAGGAGCATAATATGTCCTACATTGCTATAAAAATAGGGTGATGAAATAACACAATAGAATTGGAATATGAATCCTCCATATATAGTAATCTAAATCTAGATCTACATCTAGTAGAACAAGTGAATAGGAATAGGCCTTGAACGAGATATCTGCATCCGATTCCGAACAGAGGGACTCAGTTGAGTCTAGATATTAGACTCTAGATCTAGATCTATATCTAGATTCTAGATCTAAAAAAATAATTCACGCACCTGATGAAATGCTTTTTACCAACATTAATATTCCAGCAAAACCTATAATAGGGTTTGATATAATAGAATTGGAATATGAATCCTCTATTGAGGTCTATAATGATCTATATAAATCTAGATCTTATGATCTAGTAGAACAAGTGAGTCCGACTTGAATGTATCCACATGATCTGCACTATCAGTCAGCAGACGAAATTCAAAATGGCTGCTCAAGCACGAAACAAAGTAGATAATTTAGGTTGTCGTCCTTTTTCATATTCGTACTTCTTCTCAGGTTCCGACAATTATGTCAGAGACGTCAGCATGAAAACGAAAGTGCCGACAAAGCCGACGGGAGAAAAAAGGGGCGCTGGCAGTCGACCAGGCCTCGCACATTGACTAATACAGGTGGGCCTAGCGCTCAGAGGCCAAGCGATAGCATCGGCCGGTTCGCGGGTTGGGTTGCGATTGTCGGCAAACATGAAGGTCTAGACATACTTTTTTTTTTATCCCTGACAGAAATGCTAATATTCAATCTGGAAAGTAAAAAAGTTGCTGAAATCATAAGTTACGAAGAGTAATAACTTTTCTGATCCATTGGTCATCTGAGTTCTAGCCCTTCGGCCTGAAGGAGTAACAAAAATGAAGTCAAAACATCCTCCTTAACCTAACTTAGGTCATTTTGAAGGCAAACATTTGTTCCTATGGAAAATCAAGTACAAAGCAATTTATATAATGTTTCAAACAGAACGCATTATTTAACTGAGAGAAAAAAATACATGAGAATCAATATAGCCACACAAGTCCACATGTGATTACATGGTCCTTTCATACAATCTTTGTAAGTGTGGGGGTCATCTCTCTTTGACTAAATTCATGGGACAACATAATGAATTACCCATCTACTAGTCAAGATACAGAGAATAAACAGAGCAGCCAATTACTCGATGTACAAACCTGGGAACACAGGAATGGATTTATGCTGCTTCTTTTCTTCTGGAAACTTGTACAGCAACTGCAAAGTGCAAAGAGGAACACAACATATTAGTCTGTGGTGACTACTTTATTTAGTAAGTAAATATACTCAGCTCCACTGTCTCAAATACATTGCATCTGGTTTCCTTGATGGTCACTATTCATAAAATATTACCTTATACGGACTAGTGCCTGTAAAAATTACTTGGTCTAAAAGTGTGTGGGGAAAAAAAAAAACTTTTCTAAAGTGAGCTGGAAAAAAAAACTTTCACAAAAGACAGGACAACACATAATGCTGACAGGATTACTTAATATAGATTCCACACTAAAAGAAACTTGACAGTTTCAGAGACAATAACCAAAAAAATACCCCCAAACAAAATACCACAAACATGAAGGACTTAGTATCATTTAAAATGTCTTCACATTTCATTGTACCAGTACAAGACAAAGACAAAATACTTTACATTTCTCAAAAAAATTCAATGTCTTTTGGGTGGCTGTTTCTGCATAGAAATTTATTCTCAAAATAACACTGCTTAAACTAAAAATGTCCCAACTTGAAAATAATGTGGGCGAGAAAAAAACTCTTCAGGGATCATGCCAAGCATTTCTTGGTCTCATCACACAGCTGAAGCCATAAACGGTGACCACAAATTTGTTTTCCAATAACCCTTGTTAAACCTAAAATAAATTACAATACATATGGCTAATGCTCTTTTTCATGTTTTGCCCCACTTGTTTGGAATAGGCTTCCAAAAACTATCAGAGAAGCAGAAAATCTAGAAATTTTTAAGAAAAAACTAAAAGCATTTCTATTTTCATCATATTTCGATTAGACAGAATCCATCCTAGCTGTAGATCGTTGTTCAGATTGTATTCGCATATATGTGCGTATGTACGTATGTGTGTATGAATGTGTGTATGTGTGTGTGGTGCGTGCGTGCGTGCGAGAGTATGTGTGGGCACGCGTATGTAACACTATGTGCCTTTAAAATTGATTTGTAAATCCATAATATGTATCATGTTAAGCACATAGAGCATTGCATAAGTGGATATGCGCTATATAAATGCAATCCATTATTATTATTATTATTACTAGTTCAGGCATTAAACACATTCTAAGATGGCATTTGTTCCCAGCTTAGCTCTTTAACAGGAAGGGGATGACTTGCCAACAAGTAACCCTTTGAACACGCAAGACCTGTAATCCAGTCCAGAGTGTATTTCTCAACATCCAGTAAGGCTGGTACACCTGCAGCGAACCAGATTCAAGTAGCCCAGTATCGTGATTTGGGAAACAAGCTTCAAAATGTTGCATCCATGAAAATTAAGTACAGAGGAAATTGTCCAAGACTGCCACCCATTACTGAGAACATAAGTGGTTGTTCTAAACAGGTGGGCGTCTTTGACAGTGTTGTTATAGTGTAGGAAAAATGAAAGGGAGGGAATGGGAAGTGATCATTAGAACAGGTGTTTGTCTTGGAATGGAAGCCACTAGAGCAGGTCTGACAGTACAAGACACTATCCAACGAGAACAAGCCTCAGTCTGTTTCACCCACCTTTTGATGTAGGTCTTGTAACTGTTTAAATTTCATGTAAACTTCCATGATTTCCCCATTTGACCACACAGTCTGAAAAAGAAAGTTAAGATTAATGTAATTTTTATGGATATGGTGAATGATGATGCAGAAAACTTGGCTTGAAAGAACGCATAAAGGGCATCAGGTGGCATAATCTTTTCATCGGTGAACTTCACATCTGATGAGTTTGTTGGGTTCGGCCATTATAATTTTGAGTGTACAAGGTTTCCAGTGCAAACAAGGTTTGACAAACATAAATTTAGAAAGAGAGTGCATTGGAGACATTCATTCTCAATGAATTAGATTACAATGCTGGGGTTGCGGCTTTAATTTTTGCTTCTCTTTTTTATATTCCCATTCAACACCATTACAAACATGATGTGACAACTGAATACAAAATAAACAAGAGTTAAAGTGAAACTAAAAGTAAAAGTGTCAAACTAAACTGTTGAAGCAAACCCAAAATTGGAAGCACAATTCCAGTGTACCAATTTCAAATCATGCAACAGCATCTCATGACTGTTGTTAAACAATGTAAGTAGACTAGATTGTTCAATTCCTCTAACAAATCATTAATGTCACAAGAAAAGGTACAACTTAATTTTTTATTCCCACTTTCAACACTGCTGATTCTTTTTTAGCAAATATCAAAATCAGTATACTAATATTTTTTTCAAAACTTACTTGAATCTGAAACTCCGGGCCGTCTTTTCGGCTCTTGGGTTCTTCTCTTATTCCTTTGATCTCCAATGACTTGAGCAGAACTGTAAAAATAAAATAACGTTTCTCAGACATTACAAAGAAAAACAGTTATATATAGCATCATCCTTTACAAGTATTTCCATACTGTATTTAAAAAACTATTAATACCATCTGCTCATAAAGAGCAACCCTATTCTAATCAGAAGTTGATGTCCCTTCACATTCAGGTTTATAAAGAGAGGTAAAAGAATGCATTTATACAATTTCTTTTCTCAGAGCAGGAAAACTGCCTTGTCTTAGATAACACTACTAAATATAAGACTGCACACAAAGTTTTCATTATAAACAGTACCATGGACAAAGAAAAGAAGCAGAATTCCAAAAGTTATATTCTTATATTCCAAGCGCATGTAGGATGTAACACAATGTCATGCAGAAAGCCATTTAACCTTTCAATTTAAAAAAAATAAAAATTTTGAACCAATATAATCAAACTAGCAAACTCGAAACTTTTGATAACAATCATCTACACAGTTGTGACAATATTACTGTGAAAGAACAAAATGAAGCAGAGGAGACACTTTAAAAATAAAAGGAATTGATCACCGAGACATTACAGAAGCACAGATATTTGAACAAATATAACTTATCTCCAGACAAGTCAGCACCAGAAAATCCACAACAGTTTAACTCAACATCATCAAATTCAAGTTGCAAACCTTCTGTTCACAGAAGATGTGTGCAACATTAACTTTGACATGTCACTGGAACTAGATGCATCGCTGCTTTTTTTGCCAGAATGAAAAGGGAGGTAGGCCTACCACGGTGGGAGAGATGGATAAACTTTTAAAATAGAAAGAAAAGGGTTGTTTTAATAAATACCCTAAAATTCAATCTTTCCCTTTCAATTGCTCATCAAGTCCCCCCAAAAAATGTATAGACTAACAATACACCTCACCCATAAGTATTACATGATGATATTAAATTCTACTGCGTTTCAAGAAGATTGTGAGATCAAGAAAAGAAGATGGCGGTGGATTCGGCAGTAAGATCTCCCAAAACAGAAACAGGTGGAGAGTCCTACCTGGCAGCCTCTACCCAGTACCAAGATGAACGTGAAAGAAGTAGAGAGAGACTTGAGACAGTTTCATTTCTATACAACATTGCAACAGCAAGAACAATAGCTGAATCGAAAGTAGAGCAAATGCAAAGTAAAAATTTGGTGACAGACACATAAAATAATAAATTTTAATTCAGTTACACTTTTGAACAGCTGAGGTCAACATAAAAATTGAAGTGCGCAAAATCATGACAAGTACACTGATAAAAAACACCGTAGTTTAAGAAGATAACATACCTCTTTCTGACTGTTGCGGGACTGGAGAGGTTTGACTGGGATAAACAGGAACATGACCTGGAAGTGATCCATGAGGTGGTAACAGCAACTCTCTCTCCTCGTGACTCTGCTCCGCAACACAATGAACAAAAACATTCTAATAAGCATTCTCTTTAAGGATACTGAATTGTCTGCATCATATTCATGGTTTTCTTTCAAGAAAACTTTATTTCTTTGAGAGAAAGTTACCACACCCCCCCCCCCCCCCCCCCCCCCCCCCCACATGACATGACTGCTTACCAACATATATATGAGCCATTGCCAAAACGTGGGGAAAAACACACACATCTCACATTAGTGTGCATAAAATGTGATGCATTAGTATTTATTCCTCCAAAACTTATACACATGTCAAATATAGGATGTAGAACCTGCATTAGCAGTTTAAGACCCCATGTTAGCTTTATAATCTTGAGTTTGTAAATTTTGTGCCAAAAATGTTCGTTTGTTTGTGATTCCTGGAGTGTCATTTTGAGCACACCAATGCAAACTTCCAAGAATGTCCAAAATTTAGTATTTTTGGGTGGGTTTTTTCCAAGTGTGCTTTGATCCTATGCTATTTGTCATTGAGAAAGGTTAACTTGCTCAAGAAATCGGTTTATTTGTTTGCAAATAGACGAACAATTCGGATTACTTGTGCGTCTGTCCTGTCGTCACGGACTAGGTGTTTCAGAAAACACCATTGAGCTTTTGCCAAAAGGTGGGGGTGTTTGCTTAAGGACTTTTTTAATCAACCACTACTCATGGTAAAATATGTTTTCTTCTGAAAACTTTATGTATATGGCAAGGAAATAAGTTGGTCAAGCTGCATGAGCAAGTAGATTGATGTGTGCATCTTATATCTCTAAATAGAAAGATAATAATACTAAAAATAGGGCATTTTTTACTCATCCTGAGTGCACACGTAATTGTATGTTAAATACAGAATATTGTTAATCTTAAACTATCAAACAGAAGTGCATTCAAACATTGAAAATAGTTTGTATACACCATCATAACAGCGTGTGTCCATTAAAAGGGTTTTATTTTTTTATATTAATGATGTTATTGCTGAGTAAAATTTATAAGTTCGTTCATAACTCGTGTCATAATTACATCATCAGACTTTCCAAGGTCTAGAAAACCCAAATCGTTAAACATATCATCCCGGGGAATGACCGGTATTAAACATTGGTTTGACATTGATCCATCAGAAGGGTAATTTTCCGCTCCATCGCATGGTTTTGCTTAAATATGACTTTGATTGAGATAATCCAGGTTTGTCATAATGATGTTATGAACAAACACTTTATGATATTTCTGCAAAATATCATGTGAGGGACTTCCCACTGTTTCACAACATCCTTTTACATGGTGGAATGAACATGGAAGAGTATCGTGCTGATGACTCAAAAGAGAAGCGAAGAAGAGGCAAAAATATGCTTGTCATAATGGATTGTCATCATGTTATGAACGTGACAGTGTGTCATAATGGTTATGAACGAAACCTTATTCCATGTAATTTACAGTTGTTTTGGGATGTATTTTTAATTTTGACCCAACTTGAGGATGTATTAGACCTTGCTTACATTCTGATATTTTGATTTTTATCATAAGTGTATGGGTTTGGATTTTAATTAGTATTTTACTTTTGTAGTAATGGTTATGAACGAACTACATATTGTACTCTGAGGGCTTTCTAGAGTTGATAAACATTAAAAACATGTACACAGATACATATTATGAGGAAACTTTCATTTAATATAAAATTTTAAAGTAAATGACAGGTCAAAATAATAATTTTTAGGTCAAAACTGAAGTTTGTCATAATAGTTATGAACGAACAATTAAAGGTATTCTAAGGGTTTTTCAGTGATTAAACTTTGAATTCTTCCCACATATAACCTTATTTTGAGGAGAGTCTCATAAATTAAAACAATTTTATGTGAATGACAGAACAATAAGTTAATTTTTTGGGCCCAAAGTAAAATTTGTCATAATAGTTATGAACGAAACAGTGTGTCATAACGGTTATGAACGAAACACTATTCCATGTAATTTACAGTTGTTTTGGGATGTATTTTTAATTTTAACCCAACTAAAGGACAGAATAGACCTTACATACGTTCTGATATTTTGATTTTTATCATAAGTGTATGGGTGTGGATTTTAATTAGTATTTATACTTTTGTAGTAATGGTTATGAACGAACTATTTATAGTCCACTTTATATATTTTGAGGGCTTTTCAGTGTTAACAAACTTTAAAAACATGTACAGAGATACATATTATGAGGAGAGTTTCATTTAATAAAAGTTTTAAAAAATGAATGACAGCTCAAAATGAGTAAATTTTTAGGTCAAAATTGAAGTTTGTCATAATTGTTATGAACGAACCATTTTAAAGGTATTCTAAGGGTTTTTCAGGAAATAAACTTTGAATTCTCCCTACATAGAGGAATCTATCATATTTTAGGGAAAGCCTCATAAATGAAAACCGTTTTATCTGAAAGACAGAACATTATAAGTAAATTTTAGGGGCCAAAAGTAAAATTTGTCATAATAGTTATGAACGAAACAGTGTGTCATAATGGTTATGAACGAACTTTAAATTTTTGCATAATATGCCCTAAGACCAGTTTGCGTTTAAAAATAGCTGTTCAATGGTCTTCCATTTATCACTTGACTATAATTAGACCAGAGTGTTATTTTAGACAATTCTAGTCGATGAAACTTGATATAATCGATAGTATTTTGGTCACTTATTGTTCGTTCATAACTATTATGACACAAAAAAGTAATTTTATCAAAAATTAATAAAGATTTTTATAAATTGTCAATTCAATGTATTTTTGGAAGTTATTTGCTATGTCTCAAAATATAGCATCAGCCTAGCTGAAGAAAGGAACTTTGAGTATTCATAAATTTGTGTCATCATTGTTATGAACGAACTTTTTGCTATTTCCGTCATTCAAGTCAGAATTACACCAAGACCATTGCATATACAGCTTTGGCAGTTACTGAGCCTGAAAGAGCAATCATTAGGCTATATAATATGGGTGATTAAAGAATTATTACATAAAGTTGATTTTGGACCTCATTTGTCACACCCTGGTATCCCACCTTTTGGCAAATGCTCCATTATCTTTCAGTAGAATCACTGTAGCTGGTTAAATCTCTTTGCCTATCGTCGTTTATTCAATACTTCAAAAGCCGCGATGCGCGAAAGGAACATCGGGTTCCTAGATCTACGATTTCGGTCGGCTGTTTAACATTCGCCGTTATTGTCGTCAATTTGCGACGTGCCGGAAGTCCGAATTTCGCCCACTTTTATTTTGAACGGGTCATCAACAGTGCCCGGATATAATTGTTTTCTTGAGTGACTTCCCCTTACCCGCTTCCCCAGAACAACGGAAGCAATGGGGGAAACAGAAAAACGAAAGTAGTCATTGCCTTCAGCGTCCGGTGACGCACAAGAATTTTGCGTTGAATGTGACGTACTGGGCTGTTTTGCGTGTTTTTAGGCTACTCTGTTGAATATTTTAGTGAAATTGCGGTGTTTACACTAGATTCCTGGAACAAGAGTGTGATGTGTGAACAAACTTCGAGATATGGATCATTTCTGTGCTTATAGATTTAGCTTTTGTGCTCAGTGATGACGTTTGGGGTGTCGTCATGCAGCCGTACAAGACTGACTGACGTACTAGAAATTACATTGTCCTAAGAGCAAACATTTTAAAGTAATGTGTGCTCTCTTTACTCAAACAAATAAACAAACATGTCCTTGTTTATCTGTGTAACTCAAAAATACACATATTTGTTCTTTGTTGGTATGATATACCTTTTTCCAATACACTGTGTCATTGTGTCATCATTGTTATGTACAAGTAATATTTGTCATCATTGCTAATATCAATAAGTTTTCAACATATATTTCATACATGCAAGATTCATTTAGAAACAAAATACGCCTTTATTGATCTGTGTATCTCTTAGTGCAAATTTGTTCTTTGTAGGCATAATTTTACCTTTTCCCAGTATGTTTTGTCATCACTGATATGTACGAGTACTGTTTGTCATAATTAGCAACATAATTGTGATCGTCCACTGTCTTTGATATGACCTGATATCTGCTTTAAAGCAAAAGAAACCTCTCCTGGGTTTTTTTTTAATTCTTAAAGTGCGCTTTTATCTCTGGAGGCAAGACTTTTGTCTTTTCCTGTACATTGTGTCATCATTGTTATGTACAAGTCATGTTTGTCATCACTGTTATGTACAGGTCAGCTCAATTGATTTTGTGCTTTTGTATCCTTTCTTGTACATAACAATGATCACATGTTCTGTGCACTGCGTCATTGTTACAAAGCTTGTCATTCATATTACCATTATGAATGGAGTTCATAGTGTACAAAGTGTTTGTTAAACAAATGGAATTTAAAGTCTATAATTTGCCTTGCTGTTTATCTGTTTTTGTCATCACTGTCACATACAAGAAATACAGTAGTTGCCAAACCAATAGACCCATATCTCCAAAACCGTACGTCTCCTTGCTCTGATACTCTAGGAATATGAGCACTAAATGTCAATCTGTGACTGACAGAAAAGAGAGTCAAATTGGTAAGAACAATTTTTTTGCACCACTGAGTCTCAAGAGTCTCACGTTTTGGCAATTGCTCATATATGTAATTCTCTTTTATGCATCACGTTTCTATAAATGGTATTTTTGGCAGTCTTGCACGAAGACTTGACTTCTAGACCCAAGGAAACTATGAGAATTTTCCCATATATATCAATGACAATAGCCTCAAAGTAACTCAGTCTGGAGACACTTTTTACACTCACACACAAAAAAGAATTATAATGTAAAACCATTTTACTACTAATAGACATAAATTATGATAAATGGCCCACTTTAATCACATGACTATTTAATACAACAAGATAATTGGTCTGACTGTATGGAAATCAAAATATACATGCTTTAATTTCAAGCATAAGTAAAAGCATCTAAGAAAAATTTACAGTACGATGGTTAGTGCCTGAAGCTACACTATATTATTCATCATGAACCAAAAAGAACGGCAACTTCAGTCATTTTAACTGACAGTGGCCATGATAGGCACTACAGCTGACACACATCAGCATCAAGTCAAGATCAGAAAGATATGTCCAATGAAAAACATTTTAGATCCTCTTATTATTTCAAAAAAGCAGGAGTTACGTGATTCAGGTTTAACAACTCTTTGCGCCCGAAATTTTTTACACCGAGCCTTTATTTTTTTAAAATCAAGTAGCCTTCTTAAAACGAAGTGTATGTATAACAGGGATGGTGGGACCAGAGAAAAAGTCCTGTTAAATCAGAAATGCAAGGGAATTAAGCATTTGTGGACTAATCCAGCTGTATTTATTCATGAGTAGTTCCCTTACAGGTCTGCGCATGACACATTACTGTATTACAGGTGTCATTACTAAGCTAGGCTTAGGGATATATCAAAGTCTGATGCAGTGGCGTGCATGGGCTTGCTCCATCACTACCTTACTCGCTCTCTCTCTCTTTTTACACATTGTTAACTAGTCTTTGTCCCTGCTGTAACCGATTGGGCTCTGAGGAGGCCTGTTATTGCCGATAAATTTTAATAGAGACAAAGAGTAGGAAAAAACGGGAAATGAGAGAGAGAGAGAGAGAGAGAGAGAGAGAGAGAGAGAGAGAAGAGAGAGAGAGAGAGAGAGAGAGGGGGGGGATAGAGAGAGAGAGAGAGGGGGGGGATAGAGAGAGAGAGAGAGAGAGAGAGGGGAGAGAGAGAGAGAGAGAGGGGGGAGAGAGAGAGGAGAGGGGGTAGAGAACAGGGGGAAGTGCTAGCAAAAATCACATGCCCCAGTTGACAGGAGGGAACGAGAGAAAGAGAAAGATCATAGAGTGGAAAAGTAGGTGGGGGAGAAAGAAATTAGAAAGAGACAAAGAAAGAGAAGGCAAGCAATACTGTTGGTGATTCACAGAGGAAGAAGGGGGGGGATAATTTTAAAAGCCTGCATGGCTATGCGTACGGCCCTTCCTCCCGTACGCATAGCCTCGTGGCTATGCGTACGGACCTCATGCGTACGGCTCTCGCTACGTACAGCCCTGAGATTAATGCTCACAGCCTTGATAAACGCTCAGCTGGACCGCGTCACTTTATTGATCAATATCTTGACCAAGACAAAGATCGTGTGATAGTTAACTCCTCTATAATTATAATAGAGCCAAGTAAAAAAGTGTCCTCAATATTCGGTGGCGCCCTCTTCGAAAAAGTGCGGACTTTGCGATCACGGTTACCCTACTTCTTGTGTGAAAATATATTATTTAAAGTGAAACTAACAAACTGTGCTATTCCTATTCTTCTTCTGGTGAAACGAAAGAGAGCTTCAAAACAAAGACTGCAGATCACCTTAACCAATATGTGCGGACTTCCGCGGACACCTTCTTGGCTGAGTGAACTATTTTGTTAAGTACGATCTTTGGCCAAGAGACGCTCTACGAGGTCAATATAACTTGCATAGTCATTGGTCACTATTTATAACTTTGACCTGTAATTTACTACGTCATTTTCCATGGAATGCTGAAATTTTCCATTGAAAAAAGGTCAGCCTTTATGCCCTTTATAGCTGCGCGCTTACCAATCGAAGTAGGTCATCCCTCATGTAGGGCCTGTGCGCTTCCCGGGTAGCCCGGCTCATGCCCTTTATAAAGGGCATCATGCGCGCTTCCAGGTTTTAAGATTGTCCACTCGTAGTGTCCGGTTTCATAGTACAAGTGCCGCCTACAAAGCCTAGCTTATTCATGTGAAATGGAGGGCCGTACACATACATAGCCTCGATGATATGCGTACGGGAGGGCTGTACGTATAGCTGTTTCAATTTTAAACAAGAAAAAATTCAGGACTTGAAAATCTGTAGCCTACACTGTAGGCCTACAACGTATGGTGTGCGTTTTTTATGCTGGATGTATACACATTCTCTAGATGTTGCATGTTCGCTATGTGGTGCATGTAAGGTTCTGTAAGATCAGACACATTGTTGTCATTATTTATGCCTAGATCTAATCTAGACTCTAGATCTAGTGTAATTTTTTTGTGGTAAAAGTTAAGTCAGTAGATCTAGAATCTAGATCTAGATCTAGATCTAGAATCTAGTAAAGACAAAGTAGTAGATCTAGATCTAGCAGTAGCATGTTGTTAGCAGTAAACTAGACTCTAGATCTAGAGACTAGATCTAATCTAGAGACTAGATCTAATCTAGATATCTAGATCAGAGTATGAAATGAAGGGGAAGATTGAAGAATACCGGACCACTCGTATACACTATGAAAGTGGCTATTCTCACCCGCCCGGAAGTTCTCGCAAGATCAACTCCTCCCCTCTTCTCTCTCTCTCCGTCTCTTTCTGAATACTGTCTATCGGTGTGGACGATCAAATTGACCAAAACAAAGTTAAAAAATGATGTTAAAACACAAAAGTAAATAAATTTGGTTGTCTACAAAGATGCTACGGCTATTTAACTTTTCGAATCGAGCCGAACTACGCGGGTCGCCATTTTGTTTTGCCCGGAAATTCTCGCGCTACTCCTCTCTCTCTTTCTCTCTCTCTCTCCACTGCCCACAGACAAAATTGTACGCTTTTAGTAGGCTACAATTGTAATGGAACGTTTGTTCACGGCACAGAATTCTAAAATTTTTCTGTTATCACAGTGTAGAATTCTGTGGTTTAGGGTGAACGCAAAATTCGGTGAACGCGCACCGGGTGAGAATAGCCACAAGACTCGCCTGCACTATTCTCACTCCGGGTGAGAATAGAGGTGGCCATACACTATTGCGCGAGAATGTGGGGTGGGTGGGGTGGGGCGGGTGGTTGAGGCTGAGGCTGAGGTGGGGGGGGGGGGTTCAGGGGGGGAGACCTGACAAATTTTTAATGAATAGATCTACCGGTCCAAGATTCTTCATTGAGAGATAGGCCTATTAAAAACTGGGCAAAATGATCAATTCCTAAGGTTGAGACATGGGCAAAGTCAGTCCGCTGGTCCAGTATTCTTCAATCTTACCAAAGTAAAGTGAAAGGCAATCAATGAAAATGAACAAGGCTAAAATTGCAAAAATTAAAAGTTACCCCATGAAGTTCATAGATCCGTCTCTGGACCAATTTCTGTATATCGCCAAGATATAACTTTTGTCTCATTTTAAATGCTGGGTGGTGAACTGCCATGGTCAAAATTAACTCAATTTCCTCTGCAGCTTTTTTGTCCAGTAGTATGGATCCAGCAAGACTTTCAAAATGACTTTCTGCTGTCTTCAGGATTGAGTAAATAATGTCTGCGCACTGTACATTTGCAGAATTCATCAGAGCAAGGGCAATGAGAAATTTGCCACGTAGATTGGAGTCTGCAAGACTGCTTGACTCATTGCTGGAAAGGTCTTGGGGACTGTTGGCTTTTATCTCCTTATCCCTTAGGAAATGAAAGTCTTTCTTGGCCAAGTCTTCCAACACCGAACCAACAAACCGTAGTTCCAAAGGGAGGCACATATGCAACAACCCGCACATGTAATCAAGTCTCTTTGGGGCTTGAAGGTTTTTAAACCAGTCACACAAATCCTCTTTTCGAACCATGTTGTCCTCGGTGTGATAAATATCCGATCCTAACTGAAGCTATATTATATGCTATCTACAGGAAAATATTATGTCGATCATGCTCTCTAAAATCGCCATGAAGAATTCCTTGAAAACATAGAAGAGCAAGTTGCATCCGGGACTTTCTACTCTAGACCAATGACCATTCTTGCCATATACGAGATGAAAGCAAAACTTGCAGAATTTTTACTATAAAAACATATTCTGGCCACAGATAATAAGAATATATCATATGTAGTCCATTACAAGCATTGCCAGCATATAGTGTGTTTTGAAACTCAACTCTAAGCGGTATCAGAATCAGTCTTGCATGGACATCTGTTACCGTAAACAACCTAATTGTCATGCACCATTTCGAGGCGGGGCCCGCAGAAACCGAGATCATCCGAAAACACGCGGCGAACTTCACCGACCGCTACGATTTAAAATTAATTCGTTCCCGCGGTGTTCGTCTACGGCCCTCTGACGATCTTGTTCCTTCACAAAGTCGGCCGTCAGTTGCTTATGGTGATACCAAGGAAACAAAGTGGCTGTTTCAAAGAATCTCCCTCGCTTTCGTTTGAGGAAATTTGAAATCCTTTTCAATATTGACGGCCTCACAAGCGAACGGGTGACGGATCCAGCGATTACTAGACGCAATTAAGAGAGGAAATAGGACTATTGTATAATTAATTTGAAGTTGACCTGAAAATCTTCCATATGTCTGATCTTACTAAGTTCTTAGTTGCATTTCTCACATCCATGGTCTCCCTTTTTTGTGAAGCCATCTAATGGGATTCACTGCGACGTCATGCCAAGGGGCGGTTGGTTAACTAGGCAAGATCGGCGGAGCCGGTCACTTTTTATCGGCTAAACAGTTGAGTGGACAGTGGGCAAGAGATTTACTGCTGCTAATAATGTTCATTCAGTTTCGAGTAAATCTGAATTAATATTTATTGTCAACATGCAAAAAGCACTTTGCGATTTGAAGGCGCTTGAAAAAGACGATATGGGTTCACTGATAAGTTGATGCACTCCAGATTCTCTTTCCTTCGTCTCTGTTTTATTGACGGTGGCTCGCAACTTTGCTATCACCACCTCCTGTCGTAACGAACAACTTCGAGCGAACACCTCAATCCAAGCCGGCGATTTTACAAATTGTCTACTGGGCCTACAGAAGAAAACTCTAGTTGCCAATATTGCTTCTCAGCTGTTTACTTTTTATTGACGGATAAGACTGTTTAATACACGTAATACACGTGTTTCATCACCATCGTTTTCAGCAAAATTGTCTTTAATTACTGTCAGTACATGTATTGTCATCATGGCTCAAATTGATATTGCCTATAGGTTTTTGGTCACTCACTGTTCTGTTTGATGTTATATTCCTTACCTACTTCCTACTGTCTGAGACACACACCCCCCCCCCCCTCCCCCAACCAGACTCTGAGTTCTATCATTAGCATTTGACACAGTTCCCGACTTACACTAATGCAGTATTCTGAGAATTGCGACCAGAAGGTTTGATTAAATTATGACCAGGAATTGTGTGCTATGTTCAGTGTGTGTGCATTTTAAAGTACCTTGCCCGTTGTATTTGATTCTAGACTTGATCTGCACGGGACTGCATCATGTTATTGTTACGGTATCAGTTATTTCTTCAGACTATGTTAATTGTACGTATACTCTGTAACACGACCGCGCGTGCGTGTCTGTGTGTGTGTGTGTGTGTGTGTGTGTGTGTGTGTGTGTGTGTGTGTGTGTATGTGTTTGTTTGTGTAGTGAGGGACAGCAAAGATGTAGGTATACAACGGCGAGTGTTGGTGATAAAAAGGAGGACGAGCGAAAAGGGAATTGATCGATGTGATGGGCAGCCGGTCAGTGCTACAAATCACGAGCCACCCCTGGTCATGCCTATAGGACGAGTGTAACCAAAGATTCTCTACTGCCTTTAACTTTTAAACTTATATACCTCTCACAAACCCCCAGAACCACCCCTGCAAGAAACCTAGGTGCAAAACATGCCCAGACATGACAGAAACCAACCACGTAGAGGGACCTCTTTTCAAAAAAGTTCTTACAGATAACATCAACTGCGAAACTAAAAATGTAATCTACTTAACAACATGCAAAATATGCTCTGCCCAATATGTAGGACAAACCACCACCACTCTTAGGGCCAGATTTAACAATCACAGGTACTCAGTACAAAACCACTCATGCACCCCAGTCGGACAACATTTCAATAGCCCTGGTCACAACGGAACCACTGACATACAGCTTCAGGGTATAGAGATTAACCTGTAACCACACGTAACCCTAAGATCCCATTTGTTAGGCCCATTTCCCTGCTAGTATACAGCGCTCATTTAGTTTTCCATATTTTTTTCATAGACATTTTCACTTTCAGAAAGTATCAATGGTCTTCTTAAGAATGACATTGAGTTTGAGATTTTTCATTATACTATTGCCAGAGATCCTTACAGCTGTAGGCAATAATCACGAGGGAACTAATGGACATAGAATTGGAAGGCGACGGAAGGCATGTGTGATGTATGCAGAAGAAGGAATTAGTTCTTCACTTGCGACAAGGTAATGGACAAGTGCGGCAGGGAGGTGGGTAGAAGAGGAATGGAAGAAGGAAATGGTAAAATTGATCCTAGTGGGGGACTGCCTTCTCGAAAGTAACAGATTGACTAGCACAACTGGAGACGAAATGAGATCAAAAGGCTGGAATATAAAAAGCTAGAATAGCTCAACAAATCCAAAAAGATACTCTTGTCAGAATAATAGATACCATTGTGATGAATTCTGTTATAAGGTGTTTCTTCCTCGAGATATGGAATCCATCATGTATCCTCAGCCAGACTCATGTCAAAATGTCAAGAAAGTGGTATTTGAAAAGGACTAGCATTAATTATTATAGAAGAACAGCATTAACGTAAATGAACTATTCTGTAAACCTGACAAAGATAGTCATTTCATATTTCGGGAGTTTTTTTTCTTTTTTTTTCTCTCTTTCGATGACTTGTTCTTCGTCCTTTCTTTACCAATCGTGAATCATAGATGACGCCGACGGAGGTTTTTGCGTGGAACCACTTTCTCTGCTAAATATATCTCTGGTATAATAATACTAAAACCAGACACTTGAATAGATAACTTCATTGATGCGTGATAAGTGAATCGTAAGAAAATGATGTCTGCCACAATATAGTATGCATCACGACTGAAACGTTTAATTTTGTGAAGAGACCAAAGAATAATATCCGTTCACACCCATGGTCACTGCGTAAGATAATTCCAAGAACAACAAGGATTGCATCCAGAATGTCAACAATGAAATAGTAACAATAAAGTGCATATTATTATTAAAATGTTTTCTATAATATTCATAGTATTAATTTTGTATTACTACTTCTGCTGCTGCTGCTGCTGTAGCTTCGAACTGCCAGTACAAGAACTACTTCTGCTGCTATACTGCTGCTGCTGCTGCAGCTGCTGCTACTATTACTACTGCTGCTGCTGATGATGATGATGGCACTACTACTGCTATTACAGCTGCTCTGCAGCAGCTAACACTAGAGTGTGCTATAATACAACAATTAATGTAGGCGAAGAAGATGGAGAAGAAGAAGAAGAAGAAGAAGAAGAAGAAGAAGAAGAAGAAGAAGAAGAAGAAGAAGAAGAAGAAGAAGAAGAAGAAGAAGAAGAAGAAGAAGAAGAAGAAGAAGAAGAAGAAGAAGAAGAAGAAGAAGAAGAAGAAGAAGAAGAAGAAGAAGAAGAAGAAGAAGAAGGAGAAGGAGAAGGAGAAGGAGAAGGAAGAAGAAGAAGAAGAAGAAGAAGAAGAAGAAGAAGAAGAAGAAGAAGAAGAAGAAGAAGAAGAAGAAGAAGAAGAATTAAGAAGAAGAAGAAGAATTAAGAAGAAGAAGAAGAGAGAGAGCTTGTTGTAAATGTGCGGGCCCATAATGTGGCTGAAATCTATTGATCTTTCATGTTCTTATGTCTCATCTAGATGCATAAATTAATTGACAAATCTAATCCAGTTAATCGAATCACACAAATGCTTTATATTACAAGTCATTTCATTGTTGACTATAATATATTATTTATCTCGATGAACACAGATAACAGTTTACAATTCTGTCTAGTTCAAGAGAAAAAAGCCACACGGAACGGTCGGGGTGAGGCGCGGCGGGGAAGCATGTAACCGGCGTTCGATGTCAAAATCTAGCAGACAAGAACGAGAGGAAGCTGTCTGCTTTGGAGTTCAGAGTTATCATCATCATCATCCAGTGCCAGATCTGCGACAGACATCGGCGATCATGGTTCTCCATTCATTCCTTTGCTCGGATGCTCTAAAAAAAAAAAAAGCTACGTTTCCCTGATATTTCCCTGTTACCCATTTGTTTAGGTTCCCTTTAAACAACAACAACAACAACAACAACAAGAAAGAATTAAGAAGGAAAATATCCCTTAGGTCTACTTCAGAACACTAAGTGCGAAGTTAAAATCCCCAAAATATGTTCGATTTGTCTCAAAAGGTCCAGTGTGCATGATTGTCCCATTTACCTCGTTTTGAGAGTTAATCAATGTTGGATTTTGCTTCATTTATTAACCAGTAGATGTTTGTACTTTGTCTTTATTTGTTTCGAAAGCCTAAAAGCAATTATGCCTAAATAATAATGTCAAAGGAGACGTGTAAAATGAAAAGGCTATTTTCCAGTTATTGTTTCTCCAACACTTTATGTTTTACAGTAAACCGCTGATTCAAGGCGTACTCAGCCCGCAGCAAATGAGCATTTACCTCAGAACTTCTATGTGACAGCACGTGGTTTCATTGTTTACGGAAGCGGAAATTCAAAGTACTTTCGGTTTCTCCTTTCTCTTTAACGTGTTTACACATCCACGAGAGTGAGTTGAGCTGATCGTTGGCGTTGAACTGAGCAAAATGGGGAAGAAAAATAAAAAGGATAAGAAGGGAAAAGGCAAAGAAAAAACTGAACAGAAAGCTGAAAAAAAGGCTGAAAAGCGCAGCAAAAAAGAACTAGAAGGAAAAGGAGAGGTAGGTCAACGTTAATTAGCAAGAGAGAGAGTCACAGTCAGTCGAACCTGTGGAATCGCATGGGATCCAGAAAATAATTTCCGTACATTTTCCGTCTTAGACAGGGGAATTTAGGAGGAGATGGAGGTTGGACAATGGATACATGCCGTTAAACGTAGAAATGACGCATCTTTCTGATTGGCTGCTAATTTTAGTAATGTGATTTCATCACTTCCTGGGGGGATACCCACATGGAACGACGTGTTTTCGGTAACGAAGTGATTATTCGGACTCGAGTCCGAATATGAAAAAATGTTATTCGGACTCGAGTCCGAATATGAAAAAATGTTATTCAG